CTGGCTAATTCATCATTTAGGGGTTCCGAGAGTCCCATGTGAAATTGATAACACAGGGCTGCATCGTTCCAGTCTGTGTCAGCACTCCAGCGTCTGAATTCAGTCACATATTCCTCAACAGCCCTGCGGCCTTGCTGGAGTGTGTGAAGGGCCACCTCTGCCGAGGCTGAACGTTGAGGGTCATCATAGAGTTGTGCCATGGTATAAAAAAAAAAAAACCTTAAGAGTGGACAATCGGGCATCTTCTTTTTCCAGGAGATGAGCCCAGGTCTGGGTTCTCCTTGTAGCAAGGAGATGACGAATCCCACCTTTGTGGCCTCTAATGAAAATGTGCGGGGTTGTAATGCAAAAAATAGCTGACATGCATTGCAGAACGCACAAAACTTAGTCCGATCCCTGCAGAATCTCTCCGGTGTGGGCACTCTTGGTTTGGCGCAAGCATCATAATGGTGGAAGTGGCTGGAGCAGTGGCCTGGGAAGTAGAAGGAGCTGAGGTAGTACTGGCGGAGGATGCAGTATTCGGGTTCGTGGGTGCTAGCAGAGCCTGTAAGCGACTTTCGAGCTGTGTATAACCTTCCTGAAGACTTTTGATAGTTTGGGCCAGTGCAGCAATATATTGGCAGATTTCCTCCAGCGGGGTGCACCCTCTTTCAGGTTCCGACATGGCCATTTGGTACTGTCATGTACCTGATGGTAGAACCTGAAATGTTGAGGAGGGCCTCCCTTGCGGCTCTGACTCGGGGCCCTGGAAAGGTGACAGGGAGCACCGGATCACGAGTACCTGGTAGGAATCCGGGGGGGATGTGCGTCTGGAAATGCAGGAGCGGCTGGAGGAAGGCACACTGGCAGAGGTGCAGGATACTTGCATGGTAGCTGGTAGGAGGCAGGATCAGAGTAGGCAAAGTTAGGCGGTCCAGTCCAGCAACAAGTGGGCAAGGTCAGGCAAAATTGGCAGGCAGAAGAATAGTTGGTGGTCAGTTAGAGATCAAGGCAGGCAGCGTTCTAGCGAGGTCAAGTGACAGGTCAGGATCAGCAATGCAAAACAAACAGCAGAGTATACTGGAGCACAGAATAGAGACCAAACAGCAATGTGGCAGAGTCTCATCGAAGTTTAAATAGCCGCGCGGCGCCAAAATGCTGCCAAGCATGCAACCGCGCACCCGCTAACCGGCCGCGAAAGGAGCCGACCGGAGCCCTGAGGCGGTGCACATCTGTGCGATGTCCCTGACACAATAGCAGTGAATAGTATTTACTGCTATTGACAGGACTTCCTAAACCTATGTGCAGGGTCGGATTTAGGCAGAGTAGGCACGTGTCTAAGCGTCCTCCATAGAGATGCCTTCTCTGCCATTTTGCTGAGGTATCTGCTGGTGTCCTGTGGTGCACTGACAGGACACCACACACCCCAGCATAAGGCTGCCCTATGCAATGCCTGTCCAGCGTTTTGGAAGAAAATGGAGAGTGGCAGCTGTCGTTCCAGGAGCAGCGATAACAGCCGTCACTCTGTCAATTTTCTTCCAAAACCTGGAAAATGTATAACCGGTGGGGTCATCTTTTCCATTTAATAGTGTGTAGCAACAACCCTGAAGAAGGAAGAGTCTTTCTTCTCCCGAAACGCATTGGTTTGATGTACTTGTTGATAATCTCAATAAATGCCTCTTAATCTACCATCAAAAGTGCATTCTTCTGGACATCGGACGCTCCTTCTTTCCTATTATTTCAAGTCTATGTGTGGAAAAGACCTTAAGGCCGTACAGAAAGGCAGAAGCCCAAACCCTAAAAGGGTTCACCACCAGTATCCACCATTGGGCACAACCGACTGGAGAGACATCACCCTACCCACCCACACAACTACCCACCTACAACCAATGACTGATCCAGTCAGTCCAGTGCGGTCTTCACCACAGACAAGATAGTGTGTTTTATAGGGCATCCTTACATCGGGGTCCTGCCCCTAGGGGAGTCTTAGTGTGATATTTACCTCTATTGTCAATGAGAGGAGAGAGAGGGAGGGGAAGGAGGAGGAGAGAGGGAGGGATGAGAGAGGAGAGGAGAGAGGGAGGGGGAGAGGGGAGAGGAGAGTGTTGATAAAAAGAGGTGATTCTTATAATCCACACACTGAGGCAAATGACTAAAATATGACTAAAACTAAAACTTTTGCAGATGACTAAAATATAACAAACTAAAACAATGGTAGACGACTAAAATCGACTAAAATTAACCGCTTTCCCGCTGCCCTATAGCAAAAATACTGCTACAGGGCGGCAGGGGTGCGCAAAATTATGTGTATATATGCGTTATTTTGCATTTCCAGGTAGGGGGTGCGTGGCCTCGGCTGTCAATCACCAGGTCCCAGGCGGTGATTACTCGCCAACACCCAGTGATCGCAGAGTAATAACGACAGGGGGAGAGAACTGTATGTAAACAATATAGATCTGTCCCCTGTCGGCTCCACCACACTGCTTTGGATGGCTCTGCATAGCAGAGTCATACAAAGCAGAGTGCTTACAATAGAAAGCACATACACAGCCCCATAGTAAAAACAACACACAGCTAACCCTTTGAGCGCCCCAGATGTTAACCCCTTCCTGCCCAGAGCCATTAGTACAGTAAATAATAAATAAACACAAACTACCCTACTACATATAGGGTCCCCACAAATGTGTATATACTACAATGCCCTATGCAAATATGCAAAAAATAAGGAACCAATATATATACTCAGTGTGCTCAAACAACAATTGTGCTATAAAATAAATAATAGTAAAAATACCAACAAACTATACATGTACAGGGAACTTGTATGCAAAAGACAATATGTATATATTAAAGTCCCAATCAATGTGCAAACATATAAAAAATACCAATGTGGAAAAAAAATCCCCATCCGATGTGAATACCGGGTGATACAATAGTTAATCTTCTTATCCATAGCAATCCTCTGTGTGAAGTGCTCCCCCTCCAGAGCCCCACTCATCACAATAATTTACCACCATAATTTACCCCACTCGCCACATCATTTACCACCATAATTTACCCCACTCACCACATAATTTACCACCATAATTTACCCCACTCATTACATAATTTACCACCATAACTTACCCCACTCGCCACATCATTTACCATGACCATCTTGAATGGTAGGTCAAATAGCACATTGGGTGTTGCAGCACTCTCCTGCAGTAAGTTGGCCGTCTGTGTGATCTTGATACCTCTATACGCTGGTAACGCACTTCAGAACATACACAGAACTCCTCCAGCACCAGACCTCCTCTGTAAATATAAATTGGTGACCTGTAAAGGCTTTTAAAGCGTCGCCTATCAATAATAAAAAATGTATGTATTTTGTTGCGATTGCTCGGGCATGCGCAATTTTAAAGCATGTCATGTTGGGTATCTATTTACTCAGCGTCTCATCATCTTTTATATTGTATCAAACAATTAGGCAATCTATTGTGTTTTTGTGCATTAAAATTCTAAAAAGTGTATTTTTTCCCAAAAGATTTGCGTTTGAAAATTCGCTGCGCAAATACTGTGTGACGTAAAAAATTTCAACACCCACCGTTTTATTCTCTAGGGCCTCTGCTTTAAAAAATATATAATGTTTGGAGGGTTCAAAGTAATTTTCTAGCAAAAAAAAACCTGTTTTTTTTTTCTGAATGTGAACAAAAAGTGTCAGAAAAGGTTTGGTCTTCAAGAGTGGGTGATGTGTGGCATAAGCTTCTAATGTTGGCCCTGAAATGCCTGGATAGTAGAAGCAACCCCTCCCCCCCCCCCCCCCCCCAATTACCCCTTTTTGGAAAATGCACACCCTAAGGTATTTACTAAGAGGCATAGTGAGTATATTGCAGATCTCATTTGTTGCCACAGGTTTTTGGAAAATGAAGAAAGAAAACAAAAAAATTTATTTTTTCTTTTTTATTTTCTGTTCTCAAAACCCTGTGACAAAAATGTTATCTGTAAAATACTCACCCTGACTCTTATCAAATTCCTTGGGTGTCTACTTTCCAAAAAAGAGGTCATTTGGGGGGTTTGTACTATCCAGGCATTTTAGAGCCTCCGAAACTGTGATAGGTAGTGGGGAAGTGATATGAGGAAATATGCCCTTTGAAAGCCTGGAGGGGGCCATTGGATTTTGTGGGCTTGTATGTAGCTAGGCTGCCAAGAAGTCTCTCACATGTGGTGCCCCCCCATACTCGGGAGAAGTAGGAGAATGTGTTTTGGGGTGTAATTCCACATCTACCCCTGGCATGCATGAGCAATATATCAAAGTGACAACTATGTGTAAGAAAAAAAAATTGTCATATTCAAAAAACTTGTGGCAAAAAATAAAATGTTCCATGGATGCAACATGCCTCTCTGCAAAATCCTTGGGGTGTCTACTTTCCAAAAAGGGGGTCATTGGGGGGGGGGGGGTTGTACTGCCCTGGCATTTTAGCACCTCAAGAAATGTGATAGGCAGTCAGAAAGTAAAATCTGTGTTAAAACTTCCAATGTATATACCAGTGTGTAGATGTTATACCTTTCACACAAACCAATTAATATACCCAATTAATTATATATAATTAATATATATATATTTATATATAATTAATAATTAATATATTAATATATATTGAGATTTATTGTTACCAAAGATATGGAGCAGAATAATTTTTTTAGCCTAAATTTATGACTAACTTTGAGTTTATTGGATATTTTCTTATAACCAAAAGTGAAAAACAGTTTTTTTTCAAAATTTGTGGTCTTTTTTTGTTTATAGTGCAAAAATTAAAAACCACAGAGGTGATCAAACACCACCAAAAGAAAGCTCTATTTGTGTGAAAAAAAGGACATAAATTTTGTTTGGGTGCAGCATTGCACGATAGCCCGCGCAATTACCAGTTGAGATATTCTTGCTGAAAAAAAAAATTTTAAGCAACAGACAGCATGGATTCATGAAAGACAGAAGTTGTCAAACAAATCCGATTTCTTTTTGTGAGGAGGTGAGCAAAACCTTAGACAGAGGAGTGGCGGTGGACGTAGTATACTTGGACAAAGGGGTGGCGGGTGGACATAGTATACTTGGACAGAGGCTGGCGGTGGACATAGTATACTTGGACAGAGGGGTGGCGGTGGACATGGTATACTTGGACAGAGGGGTGGCGGTGGACGTGTTATTACTTGGACAGAGGGGTGGCGGTGGATGTGGTATACTTGGACATAGGGGTGGCGGTGGATGTGGTATACTTGGACAGAGGGGTGGCGGTGGATGTGGTATACTTGGACAGGGGGTGGCGGTGGATGTGGTATATTGGACAGAGGGGTGGCGGTGGACGTGTTATACTTGGACAGAGGGATGGCGGTGGACTATAGTGGTATACTTGGACAGAGGGGTGGCTGTGGATGTTGGTATACTTGGACAGAGGGGGTGGTGGTGGACGTGGTATACTTGGACAGAGGTGTGTGACGGTGGACGTGGTTTACTTGGACAGAGGGGTGGTGGTGGACGTGGTTTACTTGGACAGATGGGTGGCGGTGGACATGCTTTACTTGGACAGAGATGTAGTGGTGGGCGTGGTATACCTGGACAGAGGGGTGGCGATGGACGTGGCATACCTGGACAGAGGGGTGGCGGTGGACGTAGTATATACTTGGACAGAGGGGTGGCGGTGGACGTGGTAAACTTGGACAGAGGGGTGGCGGTGCACGTGGTATACTTGAATTTTGCAAAAGTGTTTTGACACAGCTCCCCCACGCACGGCTAATGTGTAAGGTAAAGTCTACAGGTTGGAAAAATCTGTATGTAAATGGACTAAAAGATGGTATTCAGAGAGTAGTGGTTAATGCTTTCATACTCTGAATGGTCTGGGGTCATCAGTGTGGTGTACCCCAAGGTTCAGTGATATTAGTGGGGGTACCCCAAGGTTCAGTGATATTAGTGGGGTACCCTAGGTTCAGTGTTATTAGTGGGGGTACCCCAAGGTTCAATGTTATTAGTTGGTGTACCCCAAGGTTTCAGTGATATTAGTGGGGTACCCAGGGTTCAGTGTTATTGTGTGGATAACCCCAAGGTTCAGGTTTCTAGTGATTATTAGTGGGATACTCCAAGATTCAGTGTTATTAGTGGGATACTCCCAAGGTTCAGTGTTATTAGTGGGATACCCCAAGGTTCAGTGATATTAGTGGGGTACCCCAAGGTTCAGTGATATTAGTGGGTACCACCCCAAGGTTCAGTGTTATTAGTGGGTACTCCAAGGTTTTCAGTGTTATTAAGTGGATTACTTTGTTTACTTGCAGAAGACGGGTTCAGTGATTATTAGTGGTTGTACCCCAAGGTTCAGTGTTGGGGACCCTTACTTTTTAATATCGCTGATTTATATAATGACTATGGGGTTGGGGATTTCAGTCTTTGCAGGTGATGTGTCTACCAAGCTGTGCCGAGGAATAACGTCCTTACCTCGGATGTCTCCAACTTTTACAAGCCAACCTCAATGCTCTGTGTAATTGGGGGACTATGTTGGCCAATAATTTTAATGTACTGATAAATGTATAGGTTCTGCATGTTTTGGGGGCTAAGAATATGCATTGCATCATACCATACTAGGGGGGGGGGGGGGGGGGGGACAACTGGGGGGGGTCAATGGAGGGAGAAGGGATCTGGGGATTCAGATGTACACAAGCATAAATAATGGCATGAAATGCCAAGCTGCGGGTTCTAAAGTAGGAGAAAAATCTCTCTGGTACATTAGGAGCGGATAGACTCCAGAGAGAGATATCATCCCCCCTTCCCCCCGGAAAAAATCATTAGTAAGACCTCATCTGGAATGTGCAGTTCAGGGTTTTGGGCTCCAATTCACAAAAAGAACATTGGGGATAACTGGAAAAAAAGTACAGAGAGGGCAAATTTCCAAACTGATAAGAGGCATGGAGATCAGCTATGAGGAATAGATTAGAGGTGAGAATGAATGTATTCTCTACTGAGAAGAGGAGATTAAGGGGGGGGATATGATCTCCATGTATAATACATATAAGGGGGGATATGATCTTCATGTATAATACATAAGGGGGGGATATGATCTCCATGTATAATACATAAGGGGGGGATTGATCTCCATGTATAATACATTTCTTAAGGGGGGGATATGATCTCCATGTATAATACATAAAGGGGGGATATGATCTCCATGTATAATACATAAGGGGGGGATATGATCTCCATGTATAAATTACATAAGGGGGGATATGAATTCTCCATGTATAATACATAAGCGGGGGATATGATTCCATGTAAAATACATAAGGGGGATATGATCTCCATGTATAATACATAAGGGGGGATATGATCTCCATGTATAAAATACATAAGGGGGGATAAGATCACCATGTATAATAAATAAGGGGGGATATTATCTCCATGTATAATTACATAATGGGGGGATATGATTCTCCATGTATAATACATAAGGGGGGATATGAATTCACTCATGTATAATTACATAAAGGGGGGATATGATCTCCATGTATAATACATAAGGGGGGGATATGAATCTCCATGTATTATACATAAGGGGGGATATGATCCTCCATTGTATTATTACATAAGTGGGGGATATGATCTCCATGTATGCATACATAAGGGGGGGATATTGATCTCCATGTATAATTACATAAGGGGGTATATGATCTCCATGTATAATATACATAAGGGGGGATATTGATCTCCATGTATAATACATAAGGGGGGATATGATCTCCATGTATAATACCATAAGGGGGGATATGATCTCCCATGTATAAAACAATCATTAGGGGGGATATTGATCTCCATGTATAATACATAAGGGGGGATATGATCTCCCTGTAATAATACATAAGGAGGGGATAAGATCTCCATGTATAATACATAAGGGGGTATGATCACCGATGTATAATACATAAGGGGGGATATGAGATCTCCATGTATAATACATAGGGGGGGATATGATCTCCATGTATAATACATAAGGGGGGGATTCTGATCACCAATGTATAACACATAAGGGGGGATATGATCACCATTTAATAATAACATAAGGGGGGATATGATCTCCATGTATAATACATCAGTGGTTCATATAGTGAAACTCGGTGTAGTTATTCCAACTGAGGTCATCACAGAGGACAAGGGGGCGCTCTTTACATCCTGGAGGAAAAGAAATGTAATCTCTGTAATCTACAGGAGCACATTGGATCGTGCTTTGCTGGGTTTTTTGCCTTCCTCTGGATTCAGCTGTGGGGTGTGGGATTATAACTTTTTTTTTTTTGCTAGAACTGGATGGACTTTTGTTTTTTTTTTCAGCAAACTAACTATGTAACCTCACAGCTGTTACTTAAGTCTCCAGCTTCTCCCCTTTGATTGGCTGAGGAGACCTGTCACTCCCATCACAGCTGTCCTGCCTCCCAGCTCCTCTCTTGTTATTGGCTGAAGACAGTTTGTCAATCATCCTCACAGGCGTTTTGCACCTTCTATTTCTTCTCCTGTGATTGGCTGAGTGGAGACTCCACCATTTCGTTCAGAGTCTGCCCCGCCTCCAGTAATTAGCTGAGAGAGTGCTTGTCACCTGTTACCTCAGGTGTTCCCTCCTCCCAAATACTCTCCTGTGATTGGCTGAGATTGTCACCCTGTTACCTCAGGTTGCCTCAGGTGTTCCTGCCTCCCAAATACTCTCCCGTGAATAGCTGAGATTGTCACCTGTTACCATCAGGTGTTTCCCCCGCCTCCCAAATACTCTCCTGTGATGGCTGAGAGAGATTGTCACCTGTATACCTCAGGTGTTCCCACCTCCTCCCAAATACCTCTCCTGTGGTTGGCTGAAAGGAGTGTTCCAGTCTCCTAGTTCCTCTCCCTGACGATTGCGGCTTGAAAAAACCTGTAACTCACACCTCACAGCCATCACAACTTTGCCCATCTACTCTCCGGTAATTGGCTGGGAGAGCTTGTCACTCACCTCACAGCAGTTACCTCAGGTGTTCCTGCCTCCCAGATTCTCTCCTAATGATTGGCATGAGGAGACCTGTCACTCCCTTTGGAGCCACCACACCCTGGCCTCACACCTATTCTCCTGTAATTGGCTGAGAGCTTGTGCCCTCACAGCTGTGTTCCCATCCTCCCAATACTCTCCTGTGATTTAGGCTGAGCTTTGTCCCCTCACAGCTGTGTTCCCAGAATACTCTCCATCACCCTCTTATATTTATAAAAATTATAACCTCAATTTGTTCCCCCTCACCCAACTGCTCTGTGGTAATTGGCTGAGCAGTTCTGTCACTCACCTCACAGCTGTTCCTTTAAGTGTTCCCAAATCTCAGCTCCTCTCCTGTCATTGGTTGAACAGTCCTGCAAACCCCCTCACAGTTTCACAGCAATTCCCTCAAGTGTTCCTTCTTCTCAGCTCCTCTTCTGTTGATTTGGCTCAGTCGTCATGTCACTCTCCTCACAGCAGTTCTCTCATGTACCTCTCAGTTCCTCTCCTCTGATTGGACTGGCAGTTCTGTCGCTCACCTCACAGTTCCCATCAGTGTTCCCTCCTTCTCAGCTCTTCTGTCCTGTTGTGATTAGCGGAGCAGTCCTTGTCCCTCTCCTCACGGTTCCCAGCAGTTCCCGCCTCTCCTGTGATTGGCTGAACAGTGCTGTCACTCAACTCAATTCCCATTAGTTCAGTGCATGTGTGCCCTATTCGCAACTTCTCTCCTGTGATTGGCTGAGCCATCATGTCCCTCCCCTCACGGTTGCCAGCAGCAGTTCCCTCAAGTGTTCTCACCTATCAGGCTCCTCTTCTGTTATTGATTGAGCAGGAGTCCTGCAACATCCCCTCACAGTTCACAGCAAGTTCCCGCCTCTCCGTCTCATAGTGTATTTGGGTTGAACAAGACCTGGCCATCACGCTCACAGCAGTTCCCTCATATGCTTCATATTTGCCCGCTCTCAGCTCCTCGCCAGTGATTGACTGTCCATGTCACCTCACATTCCCTGCTGTTCTCTCATGGGTTCCCGCCTCACAGCTCCTCTCCTGTGATTTGCTTCATGTCACCTCACAGTTCCCTGCTGTTCCTCCTGTGTTCCCGCCTCCAGCTCCTCTCCTGTGATTTGGGGGTAACCTTCCCCCCACAGTTCCTGCTGTTTCTTCATGTGTTCCCGCCCTCAGCTCCTCACCTGTGATTTTACTGTCCTGTCACCTTTACAGTTTTCCCAGCAGCTCCCTCAGGGTTCCCCCCCCTCTGACTCCTCACCTGTGATTGGCCCGTCCTTCCCCCCCAGCTTTCCCTCATGTGTTCCCCCCCCCTCTCAGGGTCCTCTCCTGTGATTGGCTTTTCCTGTCCCTTTCCCGCCCTTTTTTCCCCCAGGCAGACCTACCGGGTTTTCCCCCCCTTTTCCAGGGTTTAGGGGGGGAGAATGGCCGGGTGTGGGGTGTTTAGGTCCCCCTCTGAGTTTTCCGGGGGTTTACATCTACATAAAGGGGGAGCTGCTTTTAAGGGG